ACCTTAAAAGGGAAAATGTGTTGTTTCCCCCCCCCCCTATAACTAAAGGTGCAACACATACCAGGAATTCCATTTAAAAATATTATTCCAGATTAATTTATATTCTGAGAAGAATTCCTGTTTATCTGGAAAATACTTTCAGAAAATAAATTTTCTTTAGAAAATTTGTATAGGATTCTTCAATTCTGGTAATATCTTTATAAAAATGCAATTATCAATTAATGAGGATGGCTCAATGATGGTCATAGATCAAGGACTCCCAGTAAAAGATAAATATCATTTATCTGATATAACCCAATGGAAATATTTACAAATATATTTCCTAACAACATTGTTTGAATCAGCACCATTTTCAGTTTCTGAATTATCTGAGATAATAAAACAACTTGTTCAATCCTTTAAAATTAAAAACCCTATTATGAATTTTTATAGATGCTATCAATAAATCTGAAATGCAGATGTTTAAAAATGGAATAAAAAATAAGAGATTCCTAAACTGTCTCTATTATGAGAGTGTGTCTTAACCTCTAGTAAGAATGTCAGTAGACCCTAATTTATGATTTTTACAATAAAAATATTTAGAGTTCACTGGACTCTGTTATGTTTGTATAGAAAAGAACTCTCAAAAACAGCATTTTGTTACAGGCGTATTAAGAATAATGCTTCTTTAAAACACATGTTTTTACAATGTCCTATACTTAGCAAGTCTGGGCAGAAAGTAGTGGATAACATAAGTAGGATTGTACGACAAAAGCTAAAATTCTCAATATTCTATTGATTTACACATTTAGTACATAGAATTTGACAATGGATAGGTCCTTACTATGGTCGAAAGGTTGATATTGCATCATTAGAAAGATTAACTTCTGACCCCCTTTCACTCAGTGGATTGAAGACCTGACTGCATTAGCCACCTATGAGCAGATTCCCGATAGATGTAGCCTTTATATATATTATGGACAAAGATAATGAACTATGGGACTCATTTATACATATTATACAGTCAGTTAAAAAAAATCATATAAATATTACCAGAAATGTTACATAAATCTTAAATAATATTTTTATTAGACAAATATTCCATTATGACATAGTATTTTTTGTTATAGCATTTTATGATTTTTTTTTGCTTTTTGAGAAAAAAATATCACATTGTTTTTTGTTCTTTTTGTTATTAATTAAAAAAACAAAAATAATTTTAAAAAGTGATTTATTATGAGTTAAGGAGCAGAAATAATAAAAATTGGCTATTCAGTGTGAAGTTCAAAGAAATAAGGGTCAGGTAACATATGTGAGTGTGTGTGTGTGTACACGTACGTACGTACATACATATATATAATTACCTGCACTTTACTGGTAAATTATTGTAGTTATAAGGCAACCCTAACTTATTTTTTTGAATTGTAGAATAAATAGGCCATTTTTGAGATGAATATGTTGTTATCTAAGTATTTGTGAACAAGTGACTACTCTATTAAAGCAGATGCCCCAACAATTTTGTTACACTTTTAAGGTTCTTCAGGATGTGTCTTTTTTCTGATGTCAGATTTAAATGTTATCTCAGTGGTGGCTTGCTATATACTTTCAGGGAAAGTGTAGGAGCATTTGTGATGCCTCCTATAACAACAGAAACTAATGAAAAGATATGGTATGCTATCTATTTGGTCTGCCATATACCAAGTCATTGTCAGAAACTACAATCTAGAGATATATTGCACTCCAGACATTAGACTCCTAGATGCCAAGGAATGCATGGATAATGAACCTAAAATAGATTAAAGAAAGATAATGGCTTATTTTAGACACAACGTGGATCCTGGAATGACAAGCCAAAATGTGTACAAGCAGCATGAACTCAGGTACATTCCACTTGCATTGCATACATTCCTCTGTATAAAGCAAAAACAGGCTACATTGCTAGCTCACACTTAACTCATAAACTTTCAATTAAAACAGGGTTCATAATCTAAAGCGGACTTTCAGTCCTGCCTTGTTTAGAAGCAATTTACCATGTTTTCAGTCTTATGAATTTTGAGTAAATTCAGCTTCCTAGCTTGCTTTACAATTCATATAAGCTGACAAAAGTGAGTGCATGTTGCATGTATATATTCTAGCTTAGTAATAATTTCGTTGTCAGTAAATATCCTGAGATGTATTGCAAGAAATGTTCCTATCTTCTCTTCTCATTTGATCTTTCAGAATGGTTGCTATCTTCTTGGGAAGATGACATAAATGTTACCTATACTTAAACATCTTTTAATAATATAATGAACAAATGTTAAGAGCACTTTGATAGAAGTTTCACAAAGAGAAAAAAAGTAGATACTAGCTTCCTGGAACTAACTAGCTTCCTGGAACTAGCTTCCTGGAACTAGCTTCCTGGAACTAGCTTCCTGGAACTAGCTTCCTGGAACTAGCTTCCTGGAACTAGCTTCCTGGAACTAG